TGTGTTGTGAGTGTGTGTGTTGGTGTGTTGTGCTGTGTGTGTTGTGTGTGTGTGTGTGTGTGTGTGTGTTGTGTTGGTGTGTGTGTGTGTATTACCAGTGTCCATGTGATCACAGGAGAGCTCAGCAGTGGTCCTGAGTTGCGGTGGTAAGCTGCTGACGCTCAGGCGCTGTCGGTGCTCTCATGCGAGATGTGAGCGCTGCGACAAGGAACACGATCATTCATTTATATCCGATTCATGTGTAGTAAAATACACTGAAAAGACTATCAAAAACACTCTGAATGACTAATCAAGTACACCTGATTTTAAAAAGTCCATAGGCTATTCTTTTACAAAATACATAATCCGTTCAGTAGACTTTTAGGCATTGAGAGTAATAACTAAATATTATAATTAGTAACCATCTTTAGTTTTCACTGATTTATTTCTACACTGTAACTGCTTTTCTTAAAGAAAATGCATTATAATACCTTTCCTACTTTTCTTCCTTTATGACACACCTCTGTGGATATTACTACAATACAATAAAAGAGGGATCTTCGTACACATAAGTGAACTATGCACTACCCATTGACGTGTTGGTTCGTGTTTGAGGATCGTCCTGACATCCAGAGTATGGACAAGTGTTAGTGCGTTCCTGTCATGGTCCATCCCGGGGCATCTGGTCCTTCTCCTGCCTCCTACAACACAACAAACAATATAAAATCCAAATGTACGTTTTAAATTGGTCACTTTAATTACTGAAACTCTGAACATAAATATCAAATACAATGATATTACACAAGAATAACAATTAATTAAAGGTCCCCCTATTAGCCTAACTGTTTTTCAGTCAACTATAATTATTAGGTCTCAGATATATACACAACATGTCTCTGACAGTAGTTTGCTCGAAACACCAAACAGATCATGCATTTGTAGCATCCATAATCCCCTCTGTTTCAGCCCTGTTTCCAAAAGTGCTTATCTCTAGTGGCGCATTTCACACTAACACGCCCTCGCTCGGTTGCTAGGCCTCGTTAGACTGGCTCAACTTTACCTCATTCACACCAACGGTGTTTCAGTGGCCGGTTCAGAGCTGGAGCTTGGAAAGCACAGGGTTTTCTTGTTCACACCGCAGCGGAGCAGACCTCTTAGCCTCCGGGAATCCGTTTCGTTTCAGGCACCAAAAATATGTTCTGTAGAGCAAAAGCAACACCGCATACGTTACGCTTACGTCGAGGCGGGGGGCAGGGGCAGGGAGGCGGGATCAACTACCTGAACACACAAAAAGACCTGCGTTATCCAGTTTGTACACAACGATGGAAAAAACTTTAACAAGCGAGCACGTTAGTGGTACACTGAAGAGACCCAGCTACCTACTGGGAATCTGGTCTTCCGAAGAGGTACAGAGGAAGCTGGAGCACAATCGGCCCATTGTTGTTGTTGTCGGTGTCAAGCTGTGAGGGTTTCCGCGGCGGGTTTGGCTTTATGAAGCAGGCACGCAAACGGTTACCGTCATGATGCAAACGATGACGCAATGACGCAGCACACAGTCGAGACTCTGGGCAGTGTGAAAGAGAGCCAAAGCTAAACCGAAAGAACCGGGTTCTGATGAACTGAAAAGCTCTAGCACGGAAGCTTTGAACGGGAGTTGCGTTGGTGTGAAATGACGTCATCTTCAAGAGAGCCCCAGAAAAAACAACATCAGCGTTAGCTGTTAAGCACTCAGAGCTCACAGCTCCTCATATCTGTTCAGAAACTAGACAAAAGTAGTTAAACAATGCAAAACCAAGCAGACTGCCTGTGTCATGGCGAATGCAGTCGCGCTGCCTTTTTTTATGTCTGTATAGGGAGCGTTGTTGTGAGTGTGGACCGGTCGGAGCATATATTGCGTTAGCTTAGCCAGCAAGCTCTATTTAGAAACAAGTATTTTAAAAAGTTTTTCGCCCTGCCGTCTGTCTGCAGACTTGTCAAAGCAATTAATTCATGGTTTTTACTACACCGGTATCAGTATGTGATACTTCGCGCATCCATTTTGAACACGTGGTATTAACAATTAAATCACGGTCAAATATGTTTCATCTTGTTGTAGTTGTAGCCCCTTGCCAGCGATTCTCTCTCCTAGTTTATGCATACTCAGCCCAACTCAGCCTGGTTGTTCCTGGGCCGTAGAAACCACGATTTTATGGGCCAGAAAACTGTGAAATAGTACCGCTAGCCGGTACTACGCTAAGTGGAAACGCAACCAAAAACGGGCCCCGCACGGCTCGGCACGCTTAAAGCGAGCTCCGCGCTGTAGTGGAAATGCGCCATATCTGTTACTTTAGATGAAAATAAGGAGCCACTCCCCACACCCCTCTGCGAGATATTTGGTTAAAAATAACACAATGGTGCTCTAGGAGGAGATTCAGGTGATACGGTGGGGGGGGGTACCTTGGTTGGTGATTGGCTGATGGTTACACAAGCCAAAAAAGTCGTTATGACATCATAAAGTGGCCAAAATCTGATCAGCTCATTTTCAGACAGGTTTTTATAGAAATGGATCAGGACAAAAAGAGAGAGAATCTTTTTTCCTGAAACTTTCAGAGTCTCTTTACACAGAGGAGACACATGGTTATGTATAAGAGACATGAAAAAGTGGATTTTGCATAATAGGTGACCTTTAAGGCTGCTTGTGTTGTGAGTTTTAGAATGGAGTGAAATGGCACATCCAAGTTATTGTATTTCTGACCTGTGTGTGTTGTGGAGGCAGGCCTTGTTTGCATCTGAGCCTTTCCTTTTCTTGCCTCTGCTGCAGCGCCAAACCATGGAGACCAGGGATCATCTTCTGGGCTGGAACATAAAAGTCATAGAAGAAGAACATTTAAAAATTAAGTAAACTTTTCCACAGATTTATACATTTCAGGTAAACTTGTCAAAACTTTGGGTTCTTTCTTATTTTGGTTGCCAACTTGTGATGGTTGGACATTGGAACAAAATGCTTCTCATTGACAAACAAGAATTGTCAATTCAGGAGACACAAGTTTGATAGTGTGCTACCTAGACGCGGGTCGACCCATGCGGTGGTCGTATTTATGTGATCGATGTAGTACACCTCTCCATCTGCAGTCACAGCCTTCTCCCAGCCTTCAGGCAGTGGACCTGAACAGCAGTGAAAGTACACAGTGAGAAGGCAAATGGTGGATGGAGTGAATGGCGTGTGAAAGTAGAAAAGTCAAAAAACTGGCCCACGTCCTTAAAGGTTTGTGCAGCTTTTAGTCTGCAGAGGTTTTATAATGAATAGAAGTGAAGGTTAGTGGGTAAATAGCGACAGTATATGATGTTCTGTAGGGTAAAAGTGTACCAAGCTATGTGCATCTTGTCTAAATGCAGAGGGTGGCAGAGAGTAAACACCACAGTAAATCAATGACTTCGTTCTCAGTGAAAAAGAAAGAGGAATTCCAAATGTGGTTTTTTTTTGCCCTTGAAGGGTCTATTCAGCCAAATGACAATATAAGCAACATCTTGTTACCGATCTACTGGCCATATCATTCTGGATAATCCACAGTTTATTTATAATAATTATGAATTACACACATTATAGAAAGTTTGCATTACTTTAGTAGAAAGTCGTTTCAATGAAGTTGGTCACAGCAAAGTCTGTGGGTTGTCCAGAGTGACTGTTAAATACGTTTTAAAATACTTCCTTGTATTCAACTTGCATTCAATAATGTCTTGGCATTGGTTTCTTTGTATTCGCTCTCTCTGTTTCGGTTTTTATGAAAGCAAAACTCAAATAAACACTAAAAAGAGAAGTGACAAGAGCGGAAAGGCAACAACCATTTACCAAGCTATACAACCTGCTTCAAAATAAGAAAAGGGAGATTTATGAGCCCATTCAATGCACTGCAGCACTCATGTATTATCAAGAGAGTCTGAGATTCCGATCTCTCATTTCATAGCATTATTAGTTAAACCTAGGCTTTAATCTGCAGTACGATTTATATAATTCCCACCAAAGTCACCAGAGCAATGGATGCAGACACCAAAAAGGGGAATCCTGAAGAAAACACACCCAGCAAAGACCAGGCCCCAGATGATGGGGTTAAACACTGAAAAGAAGGTCTGTGCTTTGAAGGGAAACTGGAGGGTGAGAGTGGGGAGGAGAGCAGAGTGCTACCTGTCTCTGGATTGATGTTCTGCTGTAGCGTAGTGGGAGCAGGGTTGCTGAGGGAGTGGGCGTGGATCGGAGTGCCGGAGATGGGATGCTGAGCTGCAGCCGACTGAAGCTGCGCGATTCGAGGGTCGTGCCAAGTGGTTGTCTTATCCACGTGACTGTGAACATACAACAAGTTTCAACATGTCTGCATCTGCAACCTGATGGATAAGAAGCGCAAGACACATTTTAACCTCGGACCTGCTTTACCTGTACTACCTGTAGCCTTTGACAGGAGGGAGCTCTCCACGTGTGTAAAACTGACTGAAACCACACAGCTTGCAGAACTAGTTGCTAGCCCTTTCTGTTTGCATGCACCTGATCAGCTTGAATCCTGGTTATATCTGCAGTGCTGCGTGTCCCTTTCCTTTAATTATGTGCTTTCTCTAGCAAAATATTCAACAAGGATATTTTCTATAACAGGAAGATACTCCTCCTGGGTATTTTTAAATAGCTTGATGCTCCAGATAGAATACAGATTATATGAATCCTCTTTATTAAGTCATATATCAAGTGAAAATGTGCTGAAGTGATGCTTTTCTCATCATTCATTTATGGACAATCAGCAAGCAATTTAAAGCAATCTCTCTGAGCTTTGGGGACATGTGAGGGGTAATGTTACTATTTATTATGTACTGAAAATAATAATGAGTTGCATCCATGTACCAGGTAAGTGCCGATGAGGAAATGCAGATTTTAGAACAAGGTGGAGCTGACGCTTCTGTCTAAACAGAAAGCATTTCAGGTAACCCGCAGTGTGGCAGATCAAACATGTTGATAAACAGAAGTTAGACCTTACTTGAGGAAATAACGTTGGCCAGTGGGCGTTTTGGCCATTTCCCAACCGTGGGGGAGTGGCATGTCGTCAGGTATGAGTGCTGCCGCCGCCGCAGCCGCCGCCACCGCTACATCTGCTGCTTGAGTGGAGAGCGAGTTGAGTGGAAGGGAGGCCGGGGAGGATTGGGAGCGGCTGTGCTTAGGAGGAGTGAGGGAGCCGTACACACCTCCATCTGAACTGGCCTGACGAGAAACAAGCAGGGTTGACAACTCCCAAGACTACAAACCACAATCAGAAACATAAACCAGCAGGAAGAAAAGATTTGGATGGTAACAAGAGAGAGCCAAGGTGAAACAAACACTGAGAAGAAGAACAGTGAAACTGGCTGGCTTACTCTCAAATAGGGTTAAATTACTACCAAGAAGTTTCACCGATTGTTCTTTTTGAAAATGGAAAAACAGATCAGTGAATAGTTTACCAGCTTTAGTGTTGATTGGTAAAGTGTTTGAGCCACATCTTCATCTCTCAGAGATTCATGGTCTGTTTGCTGGTAATGAAACAAATGACGGGAGCCAAAATCGAAATGGTTTATACCACAATCTTTTGGAAATATTTTTGCTGGTCAGATTATTGTTTTAGTTATTTGTAATGCTAATGTTTAATAATACAAATTAACTAGAGCAAGAGTCTCACCGTTTTTGGTTTTCTGCTTACATGATAGTGGGTTAAATACATCTGGCCTGTTGGTCTTATAAAACCCAGGACATTTGAAGACTTCCCCCTGCACTGAGGGTAATATTAGCCTGATGGTCATCATTTTATTCCCACTATTATATAAACCAAACAAACAATTATAGTAAAATTATTATAGATGTACTCCTGATTTAAAAGATGGTCTATTATTTCTATTAACTACAATACCAATTTAGTGCTATTAATAGTTTGTCCCTGAGATATGAGAATGGAGATGGGAAAAATAATATATATTTTAATTCGCATTATTATGCAACGCAACAACTTACTAATGTCACGCATCAGGTAGTATTGGGTTGTATTGCATTGTTCTGGTTTCTCGTATTTACTTAATGTAGTTGATGTACTTAGTGGAATTGGTGGGAAGTAACTAAGTACATTTACTCAAGTACTGTACTTAAGTACAATTTTGAGAGACTTGTGCTTTGATTGAGTATTTCAATGTTATGCTACTTTGTACTTCTACTCTACTACAATTCAGAGGTAAATCATGTACTAATACTGTACTATATTTACTTCATACCGGTTAGTTACTTTGCAGATTGGGATTAATGATGGGAAATATAATTCAAATTTAAATCAGACTTTAGTTCCACCTGGAGTAAATTCACAATCTACCCTGCAGCATACAAACTCATTCAAACTAGCTGCACCTTTACCAGCTTTGATAACACTTTAAAGCATCATTAATTAAAGTGAAAACTAATTATATTATTCAGAATTGGACCAATTTGCAGAATGACTACTTTAACTATATTTTTGATACCAATACTTGTTCTACTTTTATTACTTGAGTAACCTTTTGAATGCAGTACTTTTACTTGTAACAGAGTATTCCTACTCTCAAGTACTTCTACTTTTACTTTTTGCAGCAGTGTTTTAGTACTTGTCTGGAGTGGCCTCGGAAGTCCGGCTGCCTGAAGAAGGAGTCCGGGAGTTTCCTCATCCTCATGGGCAGAGAGGGCGGCTGTCGGACGGACTCGCTGGGGTTCATCACGGCGTTGAACAGGGCCTCGAGCTCCGTCTGCGAGTCCCCGCGGACGTGCACGATCTGCTGCCCGGCCGCAGGCACGCCGCGGTGCGCGTCCATGTCGCCAAGTTTCGGTGTCGAAACAAATCTGTCGAAAAGTTACAATACAATAACATTAGAATAAACGCAAGGCCCGGATAATACTACATGCGCCTGAGTGCAGGAGTTTTGATCGGATTTGTTTACACTTTTAAACCCCCCCACCCCCACCCCATTTGAACTTTTGTGTCCTTGTCTGTCTGTTTCAAACTCTCACTGTTCGGAAGTCAATCAGCTGTGAAAAGACGCCAAATACTCGGGTAAAGAAGTCGAAGGAGATACATTAAAAATAGTGATCGCTGACCAAAGTAAATCTCAGCAGCGCACAACACGTTACATGCCTCCCACATACCTTCAAGCAGCCAGACCGTTTCCCCCCTCTCTCTCTCTCTCTCTCTCTCTCTCCGTATTCCTGCAGGGAAAAATAAAATTGGAGAAATCACAGCCGGGAAAACACTCAGACGGCTATTAATTTCCGATGCAAACTTTGATCTAAAAGTCTCTCCAAAGTGAAAAAACTACACATAAATATGACACTAGTTTGAGAAAGTGATTTCAGCGAGACCTCCAAACTTTTTTCACATCCACTGTTGAGTCCAGATTCATGTGATAGTGCTGAGGGGCGGGGTTGTAGGGTTTAAAGCTGCCGCAGTTGCAGGGGAAATATTTTACTCTGACATAAACCATCAACACAAGGCGTAGAAAACAAGGTTGTACAATTGATTTATCCACAGCTCCAACTGCAACACAAGCAAGTGTCTTTACCCGTTGTAAATACAAGGAAATCAGTAATATTAGAGTAAACTCAAAGTCTTTGGCAAGGTTTTAATTCCCCTCCGTGCAACCTTTTAAGTTAATGCGGTTTACCCCCTGTGAGGAAAGAGGCGGAGGGCCAAGAGGTGACAGACAACCAAAGATGAAACACTTGAGAGGGGAAATTAGACTTTTTGGGGCCTGGGTCTGGTCTGGTTTTGGGGGGTTGGGGAGGGGTGGTTGGGAAGTTGTGCTGAGAAAACATCCGCCCCTGATGAGGCCGAGCCAGCCGGAGCCGCAGCGGCCTGCCCTCTGCTGGAAGACACGCGCACTGCTGGGAGACACGCGCACTGCTGGAAGATACGCGCACTGCTAGAGACACGCGCACTGTGGAAGACACGCACACTGTGGACTGATCAAAAGGGTCTGACTGGACTGGGGTTCCTGTCCAATAGAGGTGGGAGAAGTACTCAGATATTGTACTTAAGTAAAGGTAGAAGTACCAGAGTGTAGGAATACTCTGTTGCAAGTAAAAGTACTTCATTCAAAATGTTACTCAAGTAAAAGTAGAAACGTATTGGCATCAAAATATACTTAAAGTGCCAAAAGTAAAAGTACCCATTATGCAGATTGGTCCATTTCAGAATAATATACATTATAAGTTTTGATTATAATTATTGATTCATTAATGCGTTTATCAAAGCTGTTAAAGGTGCAGCTAGTTTGAATGACACGGTATAGTTTGTGAATTTACTCCAGGTGTAACTAAAGTCTTATTTTAGTGTTGAGTACAATTCAAATCATTAATCAAAATCTGCAAAGTAACTAAAGGTATTTAATAAATGTAGTGGAGTAACAGTACACGATATACCTCTGAATTGTAGTGGAGAAAAAGATACAAAGGAGCATAAAATAGAAATGCTCAAGTAAAGTACAAGTCACTCGAAATTGTAAGAACAATACTTAAATGTATTTACACCACTGCTATCCAACAACTAATTCAATAATTGCATCATTATAATCCACCAGAGTAAATATACCATAATCACACAGGACGCCACAGACTGTTTTTAATTAGTTATTTGTCAAAAACAATGTTTTTTTAACGATCGAATTACAATGAAAATGTGTTTGATATGAGGATATATTTGTATTATATGTTATAATATAACAGAGGATAACTAGTCAATATTTCACATGAATGACATTGAAGCAATTGAAAATTAAGAGTTTTCAATAAAAAAGCTGCTGTTTTCTTCATAACAATGAATCAGAATACCTTTATTCGTCCCACAGAGGGGACATTTAAATCGTTAAAGCAAGTAAAGAGACAAAATAGCTTAATACAATTAAGTGTACAAAATTAAAGTAGAAAAGTACAATTTACTAAATACACATCCAGTACCAGTAACAGTTTTTAACCAGGTGAAAGTATTAAAGGTGGAAGTATATCTATTGCACAAATATTTATTCTTATATAAATATATATATTGCACAGTTCCCGTGTCAAATGGTACTAACATTTGTTTGTAAAAGGAATTTTTCCAACCCCGTTAATCAAAAATACTTTTCACAAATATGGGCAAGTTAGCACCAATTATTTTATTAAATTTATTCAAAATAATTGGAATAGTATCATTTTTAGGTATTATATCATATAGCTAAATAAATGTATAAGGACTGTCCTTTTGAGCATGTCACACTGTAAGACGTGGTTTTATACATGAGGTCCAGTCATCATTAGCAATACTTATTATTTGTACCGATATGATCAATTTGTTTCTGTGTGGTGGATTATCATTGACAATAGCAACAGTTCAATATGAACACAGTTGTAATGTAATACAAACCAGAGCGCAGCAGATGGCACTGTAATACCTTCACACCTGTGAGGCATATTGTTTGTCATTACTTTACTGCAAACTCTCAGAAGTATTTTCAAAACAAAAGCCCTCGTCTGGAAAAAGACAGTTGATGGTAGATAAATGCTTTGACATATTGTGAGACAGGCTTTAATGCCATCTCAGAGCCTATATTAATAAGACTATGGAGGGCGTGATGAGGGCTTTCCTTGTTCGGTAACGTTGGAAAAATATTGATGGAGAGAAGAGTGTGCAGGGACCGCCTTCAAAGGTCAACACCAAAAGATCACAATGCAAACATAGTATACAACTTCAATGTCATTAAGGTAAAGTTCTACCAAAATCAATTCACACATATTCTAACCGTTCCCCTACTGGCTCTTGAAGGTATTAATGCATTTTCATCATTTTGGAAATATTCAATGTTCCACTGTTATACAGTTAAGTGCTACCAATAACACGTAATACATTGATGGTCTCCTGTTGGTTATACTACAACACTTATGTGTTTGCATACATTTGGTAATCTGTTCTTGTGCAATCTAGTGCTCCACAGTCGAACAGTGCGATGGTGCCAAATTCACATAACACATTATTGGTCTGTCGCTGGTTAAAATACACATCTAGGATTAGAACAATATACATTTGCTTAATCTTGGTAAACATTGTTCATGGAAAATAAACTTCTGGACATCTGGCCAGTGCAGCAGCTCCACCTCTCTCTCCCTTAGCGAAAGTTATTATTGATACGAATGTATTATTATATATTATACGAATATACACTGACTTCAATTAAAGTGACTTTTATTTCATTTATTTTTGTAAAAAACGCAACCCATATTCTGTTTTACTGCATGCTCCCTTAAACGTACAAAATCCCATAGTATAAAAATTACAAGGTGTTTAACGGGGATTAACGTGCAGGGACAGACCATAACTAAGGTGTTGATTAATGAGCTATAAAGCTGCTGGTCGGAAGGTGGATTAATTACACTGTTTGGGAAACTTATCTGCTTTTATTGACACTTCATATCTCTCTGATATGTGAATAGGAAGCCCCTGGCTGGTTATTTTAGCATAGCATAAAGACCAGAAACAGTTATCACTTCACATTACCTTAGAAAACCACAATGTGTCTTTCTTAAGCCTAGATGTTTTACTGATTGACGTTTAGAGATGTTGGAAGGCAGATGTGGTTAGCTTGAGAAAGGCTAGCTGTTCCCTGCTTCAAGTCTTTATGCTATGCCAAGTTTTTCTTTACATTAGAGGCAGATTTAGACATAACAGTACAAAAAAAACGTTATTTCAAGAATATCAAACTATTTATTTATCCAACTTTTTCCTACCTAAGCACTAAAGTCGAGTATATATGATCTCATTATCTCGCCTGGCAGATATAATGTGTCATTCACATGCAGAGCGCTTTACAAGAGCATGTAACATGGGACAGATGTGGGGGGCCCTGAGGCTGCCGCACCAGGCTTTTCACATTCCTCTCACTGACCATGCCTGTAAACTAACACAGGTTCAGAACAACAGAAAATCTTTTCTTTGGCTCCCACTGCAAAGTTTTCCAGGGAAGCGACAGGCCGGCCGGCTCCAGCTGGACTCTGACAGGAATGTCCTTTTGCTCTTTTCACTCTCCTCTCTGCTTAACTGCCCAGTTAACAGAAGTAATTGGTCTGACCCTGTAGGAGGCTGTTTTCAGATGTATGAGTCAGTGGTCAAAGACAGAAGAGGGGGGGGGAAATATGAGCACAGAGGCACCCTGCCGTCACCGCACCCCATGCCTTCAGCTCCCATGCAAAGACACAAGCAGAGAGAAAGTGTTCCTACTATTAAACAAGCTGCCCATTTCCCTTTCCCCACATCTGTTTCTCATGCGGGTGGCAGGATATAACCTGTAAAATAACATCACTGAGGGGGGAGGTAATAACCCTGTACCACAAATTTTGAATCAGCACATTTGAGCTGCTTGTCAGAAATACATCCAGACTTTTATCACCAACTCGTTTACAAATTTGACCTGTTATTTACAGGGGATGTTGTCATGGGAGTTTACGAGAAAAAGTGGGAGTGACTGATGGAGGTGGCAAGAAGGAGGCAGTCAGGGAGAAGTTTGACAACTGAGAGGAAGGAGCAGATGTTGAGAACTCTTGGTAGAAAGGAGGACATGAGAGGGGAAATAGCAGACTCTGTGGAAAAATAAAGCATATGAAAGAGAGGCTGTTGCTGACGGAGTGGGAATAATCAAAGTCAGACGACATGATGTGGACAACAACTGTCCTTCTGCTGCTTGTGCCTCATCTGCTTTCCTCCACAGTATGTATGAGATGCATGTCATTAATATGTTCAACTTTGCACAGTCAGCAGGAATTATTGGATATTTTGCAGATGACTTGTACCTAACTAATCCTGGTGTACTCTAGCAGATCAAAGGGTTTAGAGGTAGGCGTTATAACTAGATGATGAATCATTATTATTTCTTTAACCTTTTTCTGGGTTTTTTAAACATTACACTAGTTATCAAAATAGTGTGTTTATGGAAAATAGGTTTAAACTTAAGTATTCAGATCATATTTCAATATAAAAACACTTAATTGTGAAAAAAGTCCTGTACTGAAATGATTATTTAAGTAAAAGGAAATAAATATTAACAAATATTAACTATAATGACTTTTAATATAAAAAACTGTACATATAACATTGGATTTTCACAACTTGTGCATACTTATGAGTTCAGACTGTTTGTTGTGTTTTTTTTAGGTGAAGCCGATTGTAACTATATTACACTTAAAACAAAAAAAATAGTTTCACATTAAAAACCAACACCTTCCCGAGTGCCTGTATATTGAAAGATATATAAAATAGTTGCCACATTAGAATAATGAGAACATTATAAATATTCTTGAAACAAGATTCAGAAGCTTATCATTTGTGTTTTATTCAAAGTAAAAAACACTGCAAAATGTTACAAAATAATATTTACCAGATGCATTTTCCCTCTAAATAAGCTGTGTTTAAGTCTCAAGTATAATTACATGAAAATTGTACAAGTACAGAGAAGAACATTAAAGCCCTTCTCAAGTAAAATGTGAGACAATTTAATTTGTATTTCATGATTTAAAGACAGGAATTGCTTTTACAGTGTGTTTGTGTGTAGCCAACCAGGATGTCACATCTAAACTTTGTTGATCCCAGATGATATTTAATAATTTGCACACATGGCAGAGAGTATTAGATCTAGAAGCTAATCAGGACTTTGTGTCAGATAGTTACAACATGATGCATGATTTAAGTACAGACTTACCCCCGTGTAATCATCTCTCACTGTTCTGTCTTGATTTCCAGGAGACGGGAAACAGTGCCAATTTTAACGAATCAGACATAGTTGATGAAGACTTCTCTGATGCTCCTGTGAAAGGCCAGAAAGTTGCTGGAGGGGTCAAAGGTCGGGACACGTGCTCCATCCCGTGTGACATCACTGTCAAGCTGCTACGAGATGAGAAACATTCGATCTGTGGTGAAAAAATAATAATATTTATTTGTGTCATTGTTTCCTCTATCATCGCCATCGTTGTTCAGAATCTGTGTGTGTGTGTGTGTGTGTGTGTGTGCGTGTGCGTGTGCGTGTGTGTGTGTGTAGGCCAGTTACAGCAGACTCTGTTGGCGTTTGGACGCAGCACCCGGAAGCTGATCAGAGACGTGATGGAGGAGCAGCAGAGGGCTCTGGACATCCTCAGCACTCAGGTAAAATGGAGTCCTCCTTTTCTCTCTTAGTCACATCGTTTCTAAGCGTCTCATTGGCTGGTTCATGTATAGCAGTGTCACATCTCCAGGTCACAGAGCTGACGACCAAAGTGCAGACGCTCAACTCTGAGGTTCAGAGAAGCAACACGGAGATGTACTCCATCAAACCTGTGCAATCCCACGGTAAATCACACAAGAACCTTTAACCTCTACGAAACGTCAACTTTTCACGACAACATGACACGCTCTATTTCTGGTTTTCACTTGTCTAAGAAGTAATTGAAAATTCCCAACACTGAGAAATATTTAATCATTAATATATCTGAAATATTTTAACACCAGATACATGGTTTACAAAATAAATCCACAGGTTCATCCTTATGTGAATGTAATTTCTACTTCCTGATGACAGAAGAGTGTGTTTGCTTTGATTAGGACGGGACTGCAGTGACATCAAGGACAATCTTATGTCAGTTGTGCCCAAGATCCCGAGTGGTATTTACATCGTCCACCCGGAGAATACAGACTCTTCTTTTGAGGTAGACGTCTCTCATACTTCAGTCCTTCACAGTTCCTCGGTCACCACTTAAACAAACTAAATGTGCTTCAGGTTTTCTGTGAGATGGACTACATGGGGGGCGGATGGACGGTGATGCAGCGGAGGACTGATGGATTAACGGACTTCAAACGACCCTGGGCGGATTATGTTGATGGCTTTGGACATCTTGCAGGTTGTACTAACTTCATTTAGACTCTGTGAGAAGCATATTTCCTATTTTAAGAATGAAATAAGCCTTAGGTGGAGGTTGAGATGCTAGAAACAACAGTTTGAGCTAGAGTTACAGATTCAAATATCACTGAAGAATTATTTAGATTTCCAATCGCAGACGTCTCTTTTGCTATACATTTTGTGGAAACTTACATTTTGCATAGGCTTGCTGCAAAGTGTCTTGCTCAGTATCAATAAATACATACAAAATAATTGAAGTTATCCAAAATTGTGAAATGCTTTAGAATATCTAGGTGAAGATTTCAAGATGTACTTAAAACAAAGTAAACACAAGACTGCTAAATCATGCATAGTCATGTTTCATCATGTTTAAATGCCACCAAAGCACAAATGTCATCATCAGACTGGAGACTGCCAATCAATATTGCTCTTGTCAATGATCGCAATAACGGCACGATATCTAATTTTTCTGGTGTGTGTATAGGGGAACACTGGTTGGGTCTGAAGAAGGTGTTTCATATAGTAAACCAGAAAGAGACCCGCTTCCAGCTTCACGTCGCTTTGGTGTCGCAGGATGACGTCACCTCTTATGCTTCATATGATGATTTCCACCTGGACAATGAAACCCAGTTTTTCTGTATTCACCTGGGCAGATATTCGGGAAGCGCAGGTAAGACTTTATAAATCAAAGCTTACAAAAAGCAAGTGAATAAAATGTTGTGCTTTTCTTAACTCAAATGATAAATGAACTATATCTTTAACCCTCAACATGGAACAACCTGCACACATGTTCTATTTGCATGCAGACTTTTTGCACTACTTTTTATTTTGTATTTTGTATGTTGGATTGTTGGTTGTTAAGATTTCAGATCATTGCCATTTCTACACTGTAGCTTTGTGCATATCTTAGAACAGCAAACTCCCTTGAAATGTTTAAAAGCAAATTAAAAACCTATCTTTTTAACATGGCTTTTAATTTGGGTTAACTTTCAATTGTCACTAGTATCATTGTCCATTGTCCAGGTAAAAAATCCCATTGAGATCAACGATCTCTTTTACAAGGGAGACCTGCCGCACACTGGTTACACATTTAACAGAAAACAAAAAGGACACATACAACATAATGACAGGGGTACAATTGACAAACTTATTCACAAAGACAGGTACCAGGAGTATCAAATATCATTTCATCCAGCTGTGCTTTAAAATGACGCAAGGGAACCAAAATCTTCATTTTCAAAATGTTTTGCAGAGTGTTCCAAGCTAGATGGGCTGCGCACATAAAAGCTTTAGTGTCCAAAACAGTCCTAGCACTTGGTACATGTAATAAAAACACATCCTGGGATCTCAGGCAATAGCTACTTGCGACTCCCTGTGAAATCAGTGAGCAGATGTAAGGTGGCAGTTTACCCAGCATGGCTTTATGGATCTCAGCGCACTGTGATAGGCGGCATCTAACTTGATCAGGCAACGGGCAGGTGCATTCATATATATCAAATCACCATAGTCCAGCACAGGTAAAAAGGTGTGTGTAATTTATTTTACATTTTACATTTTTAATTGTTTTATTTTAACACATTATNGCGGTAGTGTTTTCTACCCATGAGCACCTCCCTCGGGTGAGTTTTTATTCTGGCAAGCCGATGCATTTCTTTTTTTTACAATAATGTCAAATAACGTCTTGCAATGTATTTCGTGAACAAACAAAAATGTGAATCGTGCGTGCGCTGTACAACTGTCCCTATATTTATTTTATGGATCGTTGATCAATTCTTCCCTTCTTGTCCTTCCTCATTCGGCCTCATCATCAGCCATAATTGCATCATATATTGTACAAAAATCACTAAAAATCTCACCTAACTTTCTTACAACTCACTGCCAAAGGTGACATGTTTCGAGAAGGGTGCCCAGGAAAGTTTTTGAACACTCAGCCCTGTCATCTTTGCTTGTTTCGCTCGATCCTCTTGTAGAACAGCAGATCCTTCACCAATAACAACACAAGAACCAGGAAACAGATCCTGCTCTGGGTTGATAGTTGGGGAGGTCCTTCAGGATGTCCTCCAGCTCCATAATCTTCCGTTTAGAAAGGCCTTTCCATCGCAGCAGGGCGGGCAGGATCTCCATGAACTTGCTGTGAATCAAAATCGTTTTTTTAGCATGAAATATTTTTTTTTTAAATACAAAAGTACTCATGGATGGCCCATTTCAGAATAAATTCAAAATCTACATTATTGGACAGCATTAAGAAAGATATGTGTGAAAACGCTTGAAAGATTTACCTCCACGTGTGATATTTGTGATGCATACTAGCCACTGTGAGCTTTACAGCATCAAAGCTTTCACACTCGTCCAGTTCTCTGACACTGAGCAGCATGAGGTGCCACTGTTCCACACCAGGAGCCTAAAACAAAACATCACAGATCAGGCTCTACGCGGTAACCAGAGCAGATGTGACCCTGCTGCTGGTGAATGAACTTCATTATGACAGAAAAGAGCACTTACCAGCTTTGAAAAGGTTTCCTGGAGCATTTCAGCATCTTGACTGACTGTTCGGCCAACATCAGGACTCCAGCACCTCAACAGTTTGTTCTTACTTCTCTGGATAAAATGCTTGAGGTAAAGGTAGGTGACGAGCTTGTAGGCCTCGTGCACCACTCTCTGAGAAACACAAAGAAGAACAAAAGCATTAAGATACACATATGAGGAAACAAAAGCCTGCATAACTTCATGTTTTTTATGATTCATTCATAGATCAACGACAATAGGTTTTACACATTTTCCTCAGCAAATATCTCTATTTAAATCCAAAGTGAAGACTTATGCCAAAGTCTTAATTGGTATTATATAAAGGGTTGTGCATTATATACAAGTACTTTAACTAAATGCACAACCCTTTATATAATACCAATTAAGACTTTGGCATAAGTCTTCACTTTGGATTTAAATAGAGATATTTGCTGANTTCTATGAACAGTTATTCATAATTTCTGTCTAATTTAAAGGTGCTACATCCATTATGTGAAATATCCATATTTAGCTCATTTTTTCCCATTTCCCTTGATATAATACCAATTAAGACTTTGGCATAAGTCTTCACTTTGGATTTAAATAGAGATATTTGCTGAGGAAAATGTGTAAAACCTANCTGAGCAGCATGAGGTGCCACTGTTCCACACCAGGAGCCTAAAACAAAACATCACAGATCAGGCTCTACGCGGTAACCAGAGCAGATGTGATCCTGCTGCTGGTGAATGAACTTCATTATGACAGAAAAGAGTACTTACCAGCTTTGAAAAGGTTTCCTGGAGCATTTCAGCATCTTGATTGAAAGTTCGGCCGACATCAGGACTCCAGCACCTCAACAGTTTGTTCTTACTTCTCTGGATAAAATGCTTGAGGTAAAGGTAGGTGACGAGCTTGTAGGCCTCGTGCACCACTCTCTGAGAAACACAAAGAAGAACAAAAGCAGCAAATATCTCTATTTAAATCCAAAGTGAAGACTTATGCCAAAGTCTTAATTGGTATTATATAAAGGGTTGTGCATTATACACAAGTACTTTAACTAAATGCAGAAAAGAGAAATGGGAAAAAATGAGCTAAATATTGATATTTCACATAATGGACGTAGAGCACCTTTAAATTAAGCAGAAATTATGAATAACTGTTCATAGAAATGAAATCTTCTTTAATTAAAAACAAACACTCTTGAGGAAATAGGAAGCTTTTGTCATTGTCAATGCAAATTCAACAATAAAGATTTGAATGGGGGGATTCAAGACGTACCATTTGGACGCCCTGGAAGCCCTGCAGCTCTGAGAAAAGATGCTTCAAGTCCACGATCAAGAGGTGAAACTCCTTGTTCTCCGATTTGAAGTATTTCTTTAGGTACCTCTGTGATTTAAGAAAAATATAAACATTAGTTCGATATATGCATAAATCATAATCCACTTTTAAACGTGTAAGAAAACATTACATTAGTGATTAAGTTGAATAGCTACCTCTGTCATGTCAGCTGTGATTTCGTTCAGGACTTTCAAAGTAAAGGTCTCCATGTTGTCAAGTACAGCCAGGGTTTCTTTGAGAAGGGATGTTTTGATCTCCTTTGTCTGGGTGTACTGCCTGAGAGGAAAAATCAGGGGGAAGAAAAGGGAACTTCCTGGAAATGGTGACATCACTATGTAACACTCGCGCTTCTATTGGATAGCACTTCAACACATTGTACGTGACATCTCTAAGCGGTTGACCAATCACAAAAAAGCTGACCAGCTAACCAATCAGAGCAGACTGGGCTCTGGTTTCAGACAGAGGGTGAAAAGAGGTGCTGCAGCACAGGCAGTATGAGAAAAATAAAGACCTTTTTGAACATTAAAGCGTGTAAACATGTCACAGTAGAGACAAAATACAGATATGAACCTCAAAATGAGCAGAATACGGCCCCTTTAATGGAGTGTGTGGAGAATGTGTTATTATCTTGTGATTAAACCTGTGTAGTTTAGTTCAGATACTTTGTTTCTGTCTGTTTATTGTGGAGAGTAAGTCTGCCATAAAATGTCCCGATCCCATTCCTGCTCCCCAGAGAAAAAATCCTTTAGATTTCAATGACCTTTTCTGTAGCTGCGTAATCTGGAAGTCTTACATTTTGGTTTAACTGAAAATATTATGTAACATGACTTTGAGTGCGGTGTTTCTTTGCCTCGTGTGTGTTTTTGTGTGCGTTTGAAGTTTTTATTGACCCTGCCAATACACACATACCGGACCACACAAAGAGCCAGAGTTCCTAATGTGTTATCAGCAGAATCAGTGGCCCTAAAACCGGCAGACATAACATGACCATCCCCCCCCCCCCAATAACAGTGTGTATGTTTGAGCTGACAGTGTTTATATCCAGATCTGGGGTCTGTTCTGTTCTGAGGAGGAAGTCTTAACAAAAACTTACACCGTGACATTCGTCAGAGTTTACCCCCTTTCACCCTGCCATCCTCCTTGTTAAAAGTTACACTCTTATACGTCATTAAACGTCCAAAGTGACTTATCTTCAGCAATCAGGGCCTTAAAAGGAAATTGTTACGGATACAAGCGTAAATTAGGGGCTCTGCTCTATCAGATCTTTGGATGTTGGCATGTCGGCGTGATGTAATGGGGTGTATTATTTGGAAACAGCTTGAAATGAGAGGGAGAGGTAACACATTTGACTAAATACTGGACTCCTCTTAGAGTGTGGGGCCTGCTGAAAATAGATACTGAATTGCTTGCTTCAAATTCCAAGCATATATAACCTCAAACACATTGGGGTATAATATATGTATACGTACGTGTTTCTGTGTTTGCGTGTGTATTTTAAGCGTGTGTGTGCATGGTGGGAAGTTATTTTCCCACACTGGTCAAGCATACAGGAAGCAAAGTCTAATGGGAATATAAACCCTGAGGAACCTCATCTGCAGTTTATCAGTCATCAGTTACTCCTGCATGCATGTGCACACACACACACACACACACACACACACACACACACACACACACACACACACACACACACACACACACACACACACACACACACACACACACACACACACACACACACACACACACACACACACACACACACAAACACACAAACAAACGTCAACATGTTCTCTAAACACTGCGGTTTAAAATAACATTTTACAGCCCTAGCACACAAAACCATTGCCGAAACACAACATTTTCAGAATACACTTGTTCTTATTTATCAACCATGCAGACGAGCCAACATTCACAACACTAATGTAGGGAGTCATTTAAATCAGTAAAGCAAAAAAAACTAATCAGAAAGTGGATTTAGCTGAAACAATAAGGCTACTGGTGAAAATAGCCATGTATCAGCAGTAGCATCAGCTGACCTCCACATCTGTATATAGATCATAAAAGTATAGTGGGACCCTGAAGGATGCATTCTTTCTCAAGGACACGGAGAAACAGAGGGGGCAGGGCGACGGGGAGACGGGAGAGTCAGAGTGTGCCACGGACACTTGACGACTGCTTCATATGAACCAAGACC